TATATAAAAATTCTCAGGGTAGGGATATAGCTCAGCAGCACAGTGCCTGCCTGGAAACCACAAGGTCCTGAGTTCGATTCCCAGTACTCCCCCAAAAAAGAGTAAGAGTTCCCCTTTCTCTACATCCTAACCAGTATTTCATTTTTTTCTTTTTAATTATCACCATTCCAATTGGAGTAATACATATATCTCATTGTGGTTTGGATTTGCATTTGCCTAATAATTAGTGATGTTAATTAAGCATTTTTTCATATACTTTTTGGCCATTGTGTATCTTCTTTTGTGAAATGCCTATGCAGATCACTTGCTCATTTGTTGATCACTTGCTCACTTGCTCTTGCTTTCTCTTTTCCCCCTGCTGAGTGTTTCATGTTCCTTATATACTACAGATAGTACTCTCTTGTCAGATGCTTAGATTGCAAGTATTTTCTCCCTCTGTGTGGGTTTTCTTTCCCATTGTGCCTATTTGCTGTGAAGAGCTTTCTTAGTTTAACACAATTTGTCTATTTTTGCTTTTGTTATTTCTGTTTTTGGGTTTCTTCCGAAAAATCACTGCCTGTATCTATGTGTTGAGTGTCCTCCTCCACCCTCTTCTTTTTCCTGTAGTAGTTGCAGGTCTTGCATTTAGGTCTTTGATCCACTTTGAGACCATTTGGGGGACGCGGGATACGGTGAGGTAAGGCTCCAGCTTCATCCTTCTGCCTATGGACACTCAGTTTTCCCCTAGCTAAGAATCTTTAGAATAGAATTAATTATTCCTAAGTGGACTGAGTTTAAAATAGAAGAACTAACATAGTCTTCTCTAAATTCCAACTCAGAGTGAGACTAAGGGACAATATCAGATTGGGGCCCAAGAAATTGTACTTTGTGTAAGGGAATGGGCAGACCTCTCTTGGGGCCTGGGTTACAGGCTGGTAACGATCTGGGTCTGGCAGCCTGGCCCTCCTGCCGGTTCCACTGGGCTGCTGGCTTCACTAAGACTTCACCTGTTGAAGCAGCTCTTTCTGGATTAAAGCAAACTTAAGTACTTCACTTCCTCTTCCCCCTCAATTTCACGATAATCCCAGCCCTGCCTTCTCTGGCCCAGTGTTTGTTGTACCTGCCTGCTCCAGGCGGGCCTCAGAGCTCTACAGTGTTTTCATGGCTCAGGGATTCTAAGGAAGACAAGATAAAAGTAAGAAAACTAATGTAGAGTCATAGGAGCTTAGTTCAAGTCTCATGAATAAATAGTAAGGACATCTTTATATCATAAAATGCCCATGAAGCCCATGTGACGGTGCATGCCTGTAATACAGCCCTCGGAAGGCTGGGACAGAATAGGATGGCAAATGTGACATAGCCTTGGAACTTTAGCGTTTTAAGGAGATCCTGTCAAAAAAAAAAAAACAAAAAAAAACACAATTTAACCTTTCCTTTCTTCTGGCTGAGTTGTTATTCAGAATCGGTGCTGAGAGGTTGTAGTGGGGTAGTTGACCATGATCAAAGCAAAAGACAATCACTGCATCTGCAGGGAATACAATGCCTGACTCCTTTATAAGGAATAGGAACTCTTTTACTGTGGTTTGTCTCTGAGGCTTAAAATATCCCTCATCCCCAAATTCTAATGTAGTAACAACTTGAAGGGATGTTTATCATTAATCACAGAACATAAAATTAAAGAGTGGCTATAAATGTGACTCCAATAAGTTTCTAACTCACAAGACACCCAGGCATCTAACCGGAGGCCCTCTGTATTTTATCTAGAAAGCAACTGTCACTGGCTAGTGTGGGCCCTTGCTTTTAGTAATAACAGAAATTAAAATGAAAGCACAAATTAAAACACTTTAATTGAAAAATTAGAAGGAAGAAAGACTCTAGTTTAGGTAGCTGGAGGGGGTCAGAGTTTAAACTGGTCCACCAGAAAAGGTTCAGCTGGTAGGCTGGGGTCCTAGGGTCATTATCTCAACTCTGGTCTCAGAGCTCAGGAATCCTTTTGGCTGAGGGGTGGTCTCATTTCAGGTGCTTGCAGTTCAGGACAATGACTTGAGACTTTCAGGGATAATTGAACATCCCTGGAGAGCCGGCATCCTGCTGTCCTCAGTCTTGAAGGGGATGAGAGTATGTAAATTTTGAGCTAATCAACCTTGTTTTGCCAACTTTCAGAAAGACATTCCCTAAATGACCAATACAGCCCTATGCAGAGCTGAGAAGAGATTTAACATTTATAGGAACAAAGGATACAAAAATGAAAGTCAAACTTGTTCTGCTTTTGGTTACCTTCTGGCATGTGTAGACCCAAGTGAAGAGTAATCATTCATAGTAAAAGTGGTTTTTAAATTTCTGGCTGTCCCAGGAAAAACACAAATCCTTCCTGCTTTTAATGAGCAGCACATGAGGGCCTAGGACTCTGTCTCAGTTTCTCCTTTTCTATAGTGATCCTTGGCCATATTGTTACCAGGAAGCTGGTCCTAAACATGGTGAGGTCCCAGGTTGCATTTATATGATTAACTGGGTTTTTTAAATATCTTTTTCTCCTCCAAGGTTACTGTTACACAAATACAATGGGCTGTGTTTACCTACTGCACAGAGTAGGTCCCTTTACTCCTTAGGTAGATTGCTCCATTTAGAGACCTTGTTTTTCTAATCCCTTGCCAGTAAGCTGAGCTTTACACAGGTGCCGGCCCTCAGCACTTAAGAGATATTACATTCTCCTGAGCTAAGTTTGAAACCACACATCTGTATGCATCTTATCTGCAGCTAATGATGGTCTCAAAGTGCTTAGAGGGAACCACAATACAAATTCCAGGGAACACATTTTCTTCCACTCCTTATTCTTAACTCCACCTATGACACCCAGCTGACTGGCAGTGTGAGTTTCCTGCAGTTATTTGAAGTGGAGCTTGAGAAGTTGACATTTGAGTATACACTCAGGCCACCAGGCTGGGATACTTCACTCATCTAGGAAATTCACACCAAGCTCCGCTGTATCACTTTTTCTTGAGACAAGGTCTCACTATGTGTGGGAGACCACCATGCTGCTCTACTGAAAAAGCCTTTGCCACAACCTGTCCCTGACCTCTCCTTCACCCTATTTACTGAGCTTTGCAGAGCTGGCTATATGGAAACAAATGCTCCTGGCAGTAAAGGTGCCAGCCTTGCAAACATCAAAACTATCTGTACATTGCTAATTGGAGGCCTCTGTGCCTGGTATGGCTACAGACCTTTTCCCTATGTACTCTGCGGGACCCCTGCCCACCTCTCTGATGGATACTAATAAAAGCCAGTTTTTGGAGAGGGCACCTTTTGTTCCAGAGAGAACACTGGATCATCCCAGAGCTCTACACCTGCAGAACTTTTTCTCTGTCTTTCTCTTGCATCCCTCTGCTGTACTGCCGGGTGGGCTAGACTGATACATCAGGGGTCTTGGTAACTATGTAGCTCAGGTTAGCCTTGAACTTACAGTGATCCTCCTGCCCCAGCCTCCCAACTGCTGGGATCATGCTCTCTTTCACTTTCTCGACTGTCAGCAACCTGAGGGAAAGAAGTTTCTTCTTAGCATCTATCTAGCAAAGGTGGCAATAACTACTTTTAATTCTAAATAAATATGCCAATTTGTCAAATTCTGAAGCTTGATTTTCTTGGCACCCTTTAAGTCATGAGTTGAAGGAGTGATCCAAATCAAACAAACTCTTGCTGGGCGTAGTGGCACATGCCAGTAAGCCCAGCACTCTAGAGGCTGAGGGAGAAAGACTGCCTTGAGTTTGAGGACAGCCTGAGCTATATAAGTTCAAGGCCAACCTGAACTACAGTGAGACCCTGTCTCAAAAAAACTAAGAAACAGTAATAACATTACATAGGAGATATATTTGTGTATTAGATATAAGAGAGTATGGGTTGCTAGAAACATTATACCAAGCTTTACTACATGGCCATTTTTATTCTTCCAAATAAAATGCACCTATCAAGATGTAGCTGTGACATTTTAAAGCCAAAGTGTATGAATTCACTCCTATTAAAACAAAATAAAAACACCATGGATAAATTATATTGAGAAGAGAAACTGAAGAAACAAAACAAGCAAAACCCAAATAATTATAATCACATTCCCTTAAATTGACAGGGCAGATAATGATCGTTGTTTTGTTTAGTCTGAGACAGGTTCTTACTTAGTCTAGGCTGTCCTCCAAATCACTAAGTAGTCCACAATGCTCCTCCTTCCTCAGCCTCCCAAGTGGGATTACAGACATGCACCACCATGCCCAACAATGATCATTTTTAATCTATGAGACTATGTGTATAGATTTCGTAGTTTATTGTGACATCTGAGTTCTCAGTTTCTTTCAGTGGCTTACCCTGATTCTTTAAAGCAAGCAGGGCTGTTTTGTGTGACTGGTGTGAACCTGTGACCTAAGTGCGAAAGCACACTTAAGTGTAGCTGAACACATTTATTTCCCAACTTCCCTCCTAGGTTTTGCCCACCTTTTTGAATTTAACACTCAATCCATGAAATACTGTAGGCAACTGTAGGAACACAGCAGGATCTTTCGGACTTTCTGCTCTGTCTTTTTCCCAGTTCACCTTTAAGGAATGACCTGGAAAAACTTGGTAATGACTAATCCACCCCAGAACTGTGCTCACGAACCAAGACCATGCTGGCAGCACTCCACACACTACCAGGGCCCACTCTGTCCTACATACTTCCCCCTATGATGCCCACTACCTCATTCCAGTGGCCTAAACACTAAGTACATTATCTATTGTCACCATTTCTTCAAATGTGGCTTTATAAATGTTGACTCAGCCAGGAATGGTGATGCATGACTATAACCCCAGCTACTTTTGAGGCTGTGGCAGGAGGACTGCAAGTATCAGCCCAGTCTGGGCAACTTGGCAGGACCCTCTCTCAAAATAAATAAAAAACCCTGGGATATAGCTCAGAGGTAGAGCACCCTTGGGTTCAATACCCAGTACTGCACTTTTAGGTTCAAATTAACCTAATGACTCCACACCTGAAACTAAAAAAAAGCATACAAAAAATATATTTTATTCATCATAAATATATTTAGAGAAAGGTTCTCAACCCATCCCCAACCATTATCTCCTATCCTGTTAACATTTTCTAAATAAAAACAATGTTGCTGCCCTTACCTTGTCAGTAAACAGGACAAGAATGCTAGGCCATAATTACTCTAGTTGGAAATAAAGGCCACACCTGCAGCCAGATGTTGAGCCTTTTAGAGAACCCCACTGGGCAAGAGACAGACAACCAAAAGTCAAACAAATGAAACAGGAATCTGCAGCAGTCATAATTACACAAGTACAACTAAGGTGCCTTGACCAAGCACTCACAGAAGTTGAGCAAGAGGAACGGGGAGGCCCACAAAACTTCCATGTCTGGGTCCTCATCAAAGACTCCTGGTCTGAAAGCCAGAAAATGTCTGTCTGGATAGTCAGTCTCACTCTTGTGAGTGATGGGAGAGACCTTCCTGCCCCTCAGGAGTGCTCCACTAGTGAAGGTTCCTCTGTGTTCTCTGATGGTGGCGGGGCTCCAAAGATCTTGGCAAGGAGCCCTCGGTTGGAGCGGGCCTGGTCCTGAGCAGTAGCCAGGCGAGCCCGTTCACGCCCTCCTGGCCGTGCTGCTTTCCGGGCTCTTAGCTCCTGCTCAGTGGGACGCTGGGCAAATGTCCAGGAGCTGTCTGGGCGGGCAGGGTCCCCATCAGCAGCAAGGAAGCGCTGTCCCCGCTCCACACTCCGAAGATAGAAGTCGGTCTCACGCTTGGCTTGGGCAACCTCGGCTCTCAGGCGCTGCCTGCGTACCTGGCGCTCAAAGGCAAGGTGTTCACTGAGGTGGGACCAAGTAAAACGGTGCAAATACTGCAGGCAGGAAAACAAGAAAAGTTCAGGATGGGGCAGATCAAAGAGGGAGAAGAAATAGGTGTAGGCAGGCGTGAGGCCAAGAAAAGCTCATCAGGATGGGGAGGAAAGGACTGGAAGTGTGGCGGACAGGCCTGTCCCCTCACCTTGAGATTCCAAAGGTCATAGCGGAAGGGGCTGCGCCTGCGGGCCCCCATGGGTGTGTTGTGCAGACTCGAAGCCACACGCTTGGCTATGCGCTTATCCCGGAACTCCACCCAGCCCTCAGTATAGTCCTTGCTGTATTTGGATCCCTTCTTTCCTCCTGAGGCTGCTGCTGCCTTCTTCTTGCGTCTCACAAACCTGTCTGCACACCAAAGACAAAGTCACTGTGAAGAAGGCCAAAGCAACACTCCACTCACTCCCGGCTCTGAATCCCTGCCCTGCAGGACACCTCCCAGTCCTTGACCCAGACAGACAAACCGAGGCTTCCTTTGTCTATCAATTTGCATTAGCACGTTAAGGAGGCAGGGTGCTAATTATAAGTTTCTTGATCTGTGTCACTATGCAAAAGGGATGTATTCGGCTTTGCAGAAAAGCCCCTTAACAGAGGCATGTGGTGGACACTCTTAAACTGCTGTTAAATTTTATTCTTCATTACAGAATAGTAGTAAAATAAATGGCTTAAAGAAGAAAAGTGTTCTGGAATGTATGTAGCAATGACACCAGCACTGAAACTGACGGGGGGTTCTGCCTCTGGGCTAAGCTAGAAAATCTTGAAAAAATTATTTTCCCCTGTGGTACTAGTTTTTGATGACCTCAGGTAACTGACCATTGTAATTTCTTTATCATTAGAAGAGATTTAGAGCTTTTATATTCATTCCTTAGATTTACAAATATAAAAGCTTAAGAAACCATGTGAGGCCGGGCACGCCTGTAATCCCAGCACTGGGAAGGCTGAGGCAGGAGGATCATTGCGAGTTTCAGACCAGCCTGGGCTACAAAGTGAGCTCAAGGCCAGCCTGAACTGCATAGCGAGACCCTTTCTCAAAAAAATTAAAAAAAAAAAAAAAAAAAAATGTGAGCTTAAAGCAAGTTAAGCAGTTTAGAACTAAAGGCTTGTAGTAACAGACACAACTATGCTCAAAAGTGAAAGGCAGTACAGTATATAACTATGTATTTAGTTAATACAGCCTCAGCATTCTGTATATACATGTATTACATTTCTACATTTTTAATATGTCTGCTTCCACGTTAAGTATAACTGTGACAAATTTGTGTTGCGTTTAGGACATACAACGCACCTGACTTTACTGTTTTACTCTTGCATATAAAGAAAAGTGCAATATGGAGGTGTATACAGTCTTTGGTATTTTACATTTATAAACTGTTAAAAATTTCATCCTTTTGCCAAAATGGTGGGATATGTGACTGGTAAATCATAAATCCTGTGGTGAATAGTGGTATAATTTAGAACTTCATCGTGTTATATTTTTAAGACACTAATGTAGTAGTTTTATATTTGGGGAAATAAAAGTTTTTAATTTTATTTAACTGGAATCATTGCCCTGGTGTAAACACTCTGTACTACATCTGCATTTAAAAAAATTTGATTTTCTGGTTAAAAAAAAAGAAAATGCTCCTGAGATTTGTGTTCAGGTTCTATTCATTTAACACATCGGAGAAGACGTCCGGAGAGGCGGGCGGAGCCAGGATTAGAACGCAAAAGCTATCCGAGAAGTAAACCACCAACAACAGAGCGGCCAAGCGCCCCCTTTGCCCCGCGCCCCGCCGCAGCCTGCTAAGAGACATGCGCACTACCGACTCACCCGCCAGCAGCAAGGAGCCAGCCCGCTCAAAGCCCGCAGCTCGCGCCGCAGCCCTGCGCAACCCAGGCCGCAGAACGAGTGCCACCCTGCTTCCTTCGCGCCCGGGCCCGCACACTTACCTTCCGCCTGAAAGAACACGCGCCCGACCTCCCCGTAGGCGCTGAGGAGGTTGCGTACGTGCAAGGGTCGGAAGCGCGGCGGGATGTGACCCAGGTACACGATACCTGGCACCACGCGCTTCTTGCCGCCGCGAGCCGCTTCTTCGGGTTCCTCTGGGTCCTCCTCAGCCTCTGACTTCTCGTCTGTCCTTTCCAGCGGCTCCGGCTCCGTCGCTGCCTCAGAGGCCCCGGCCGACATGCTTGCCGATATGTGGAGCACGACAGGCCGTTAAGCAGCCGGGGCGGGTGACGCGCACCATGTGCGACGCCTGCGACGAGGAGGCGGGGCAGGTGCGTGACTACAGCGGAAGAGCTGCGCGGAGGACAGTGGGAGGCAGGAACGGAGGGAAGGTTCTTGGGATTTAATGTAGCTCTCCGCCGCAGTCGGGAGGCCGGAGCAGGCGGAGGCAGCAGGCTGGCCTGGGAATTTGCACAACCATTTTTTGGCAGCTTCTGAAGTTTGCAAATACCCATATTTTAAGTTTGGGTCTCACAGTTTCTCAAGTAGTTTTGAAAGTTTAACGGATTTTTTTAATTTAGGAGTTATTCGAAAATGTAGTTTAACTCTGTAAGTTTAATTTAGAATATTTAATTGAATTTTATTTTTGAAATATGAAGTTGTAAACAGTATACTCTTCTAAATTGGACTTCGTGAATGTCTTACAAATGTAAGTGCGTGACAGTTGTGTGAGTTCGGCTGGCGTCTGTGGTCCGTCCGGGTTGCCGCGTCGCCCGAGTCCTGATCTTAGCCTCGCCCTCGCTGCCTGCTCTGCCCTCGGATCCCCCGCAGGCCCGGTGCCCCCGCTTCTCCGTCCACACCCTGAGCGCACAGCTCGGCGCCCCTCTCCCCACGCGGTCCCGGCCGCCCTCCAACTGTCTCGGCCCCGCCGATCGTCGCCTGCACCCGCGGCCGGGAACCGCTCACAGACGATCCTGGCCACGTCTTGGAGGCCGGCCCGAGCCCGAGGGGGCCTGGCCAAGCTCCCCAGCCCGCTCCGAGAGCGGCGAGGGTGCCCAGGATACAGGCGGGGTGAAGCGGCGGCACAGACCCCAGTGTGCTCAGGTCCGCACCGCCAGGCGCTGGCCTCCTTGGGGAAGGAACGTCTAGGGTCTAATAAATAACCGGACCCCGAATTCTCGCACGCCTATTTCATTAATGTTGTGTCAAAAAGACCGCTCTACTGCTTGTCTGCTCAGATTTTGCTCTACTTCCATGAACACGGACGTCTTCAAAACATGGAAAAAGCGAATGAATGAGAGCCCGAGCCCGAAGCTTACGGTGCCTGGAGCTAGTGGGCAGAGGGTGCAGGCGTGCCCTCACATGTGCCTGCACCTGATACCGTGTTCTCTACTTTGTGTGTGTTTAATGTTAGTAGTAGTCTCCAAAAAGAAAACTGAAAGTCCTGTGCAAGGTGCCTATCTCTTCCTGCACATCACCCGCTCCCATTAACTCGATGCAAAGTGAACATTCCTTTACCGACTATCAGTATGAAGTAAGAGATGGTCTGTATGGTCTGTGACAATTAGCCCTGACCATATTAAGGTTTGGTTTACTTTGGGTAAGCACCCGGGGCCGGGAACCTTTCAAAACTTAACTCCTTCGAGCCGGATTCGAACCAGCGACCTAAGGATAACCACAGACACACACCTACAGTCCTCCGCTCTACCAACTGAGCTATCGAAGGGTGTTGTAGTGTTCTTGTCGCTTTAAATATTTAGTTAACGATTTTTTTAAAAAAATTGTATTCCTGTTAGGAAGGCAAGTAAATTTATTCGAACATTTATTATGATACCTAAAACTGATCTGAGCAGTGATTATACACGCATATAAAAATTCGTTCTCTGAAATGTTTAAGGCTTGTGGCTTTTACTGTGTTTCACATAGGTCTTAAAATCTAGCATCAGTGTTCTGTGTACTGCTTCCTTAGGTGTAACACCAATGGGTCCATCGCCTTTTTGTGCTTATTGTCCTGGTGTCCGGTCTACCTCACACCTTCTCTCCATGGAAGGTGCATGATAATGCCACGGTCATCCTAAACACAGACAACCGGATTGTAGATGACTGGACTTGCCATCTTTAAGCGGGGTTACCATCCAGTTAATTTGGGAAACATCGCGGCCCTTCTTTCTGAAGTACAGGAAAAGAAGGGCTAGGCACAAATGTACTAGACACAAAATAGAGGTGTTTTATGTGTGTGTATTTAGGTACTGAGTAGCTTACATTACATTGTACAACTATAGTGAGGCAAATAAATGAAACATACCTACACCTCAATTCTTAAAAAGAAACGCAAGCGTTTCCTTTATGGTTGTGCAGTTATGCTTTGCTACCAAGGGTTTGTGGTAGCACTCTGGTTCGGGCACCTAGGACAAATAAACTCTCAAGGGGAAACCTGGAAGTCATCTCGTGAGACTTTTCTAAAGGTTATAAAATTTTTAGTGATGAATTATTAAGTTTGTGGCAAAGATTTCTGGGAAATTATCTAAAAAGATCATCCTTTATTAAAATTAAAATGTTCAGTAATTACACTCTTGGAAAAATTAAAATTTTCTTCGTAAGATCCTGTCTAATGAGTCCCATAAGAAATCTCTGCAGCAATGCTAGTAGTTACTTCAGTCACTCAGCTCCTTCTCATGAGAAACTAAGAATGTCTGGAAAGTTTCTTTCCAATAGTGTGCCCTAACCTGGTGTCACTGTATAAGGCAGCAGTCCCATTTGTCCTGCCTTGGCCCCAATAACACACAAACTGTTGGTCTGCACATTTTCTCAAAGGCTTCACCAGTTTTCAGGAGGGTCAGCAATTGGACCTGTAAAAAAATAAAACACCTAATATTTTCCCTATCAGCTTCTCATCCAAATGCTTCTGGCCTGCGCTGCTTACTTCTTTTTCTGTCGTTTATTGCCTCCTGATGTTTATACAGCTTCCTTCTTAAGCCTGGGACTTCTCTTCCACCCTAAAAGAGTAACTGACTGGATGCTAAGGATCTCTGTTTGGTTTGTGGACACGGTGAGTTGCCTAGAATAGTGCCTCCTTTTAGGGGCACTAATGACCATTTATCGAATGAATAAACCAAGTTCTTAAAATGAGGACAGTGCTCTAATGGAATCACACATCTAAGGTACATGTTACGGAAAGGAGAAAGAAGAACAAGGCATTGAACACCGCCTGCACCTCCAACTGCCAGGTCTCACCTCCCTTCTTACCCACCCAGATTGGAGAATAGAAATAACTAATGTGGAAATTTCCATCCTCAGAAACTTCAAAGGGAAAATTCTTAGGAACCGTGAGACATTCCTGTCATTGTCTCCATTCAAATGCTCTCGATTGATTGTATTTTTCATTTAAATAAGGGAATGAAGTCCGTCGCTGTGGGCTTCAGAACACAAGTCCATGGAGCAGTTCAGAGTGGCAGGTGAAGCGCTGTGAACTTGGAGCGCCTGGGGTGCTCGCGTGTAGCCGCGATTTCCAGCCACTGCCCCTCCTGTCTTCCTTCAAAGCCAAGCGAACTTTTGTTGCCCTCTTGACAATATTTTATAACATTATCATCTTTATCTGTATATCTGTCACTCCATACACAAAACGCCCTCCCCTTGAAGAACAAGCGATGGCTCACAGCGGCTGCTGCAGCAAGTCCAACTATGACTGCAGGCCGCGCAGGAGCGGGGCTGGCCGCTGGGCCCGGCTCCGGATCAGAGGGCCCGCGCGGGCGCGGCCAGGTGGCCACGGGACTCCTCGGGTCCCAGCGGGGCGCTCGGTCCTCCCTGCCCAGCCGTTCAGGGCTCCCCTCGCGTCCCAGCCGCTGGAACCCACCTAACCCCGCGGCCTCTCCGCCTTCAGGACGAGCCCCGCACCCCGGGTCCTCGCCGCCTCCAGTTCCTCACACCGCTATCGGTGTCCTTCGGGGATCCCGACACAGTTGTCCACCCCAACTCCACCCCGTTAAAGCACGAAGCGGGCCGGATGCAGCGAAGCGAGTAGCAAGCGTGGGCCCGATGGTCACCGGGCGAGGACACGCTCCCCACGACAGGTGCCCCCGAGCCCCGGGAACCTCAGCGCGACCCTCTTTTCTTTTTGTCAACCTCGAGGGAGACAGCATCTCACGGTCCTCTCCTCCTGGCGACACGAGTGAACACTGTCACCCTTCCTCCCTTAGTTCACAATGACCTCTTCTAAAGCCAACAACAGTATGCAAGTGAGGCGACACCCCGGATTAGTGTAAAGGTCAGGCGAGTGGCGTATTCGGGTACATGGTGCTCAGGGGACTGAGAATGGTTTGTGGCTTTATCAGGGGGATACTCACCAGGAGGCTTAGCTCTGCGACGTTTGAATTATTTTTTAAAGTGCCAAGGTGGCAGAGGACTCCGAAAGCTGCCGCTTATCCTAACCTCCAATAAAGCACAGCGTGACCCTCGGAAGCGAGGCGCGCTCTGCACCCCACCCTCGCACATCTGCTCTGAGAGAGCGAGCGGGCCGCTTTGTGGTCGCGGGGTTAACTCGGGTTGTACAGGATCAGCGGACGGGGGTGACACTGAATCTGGTCAACAGCAAAGGGGAAGCAAGAATGGCAAGGACAAGCGGGAGCCGGCAGGGACTCGGGGAGGCCGAGGGCAGGAAGGTGCCTGGAGCTGCGAATTTCACAAGAAAGTGGAAGGTGGGGGAGAATTCTATATAGACGGTTGTCCAGCCCTCAACCGCTTTTCCCTGAGGCAACCACTTCTTTAGTTTCCGGACAAATTTTACCTATGTAAATAAGGTAGGCAAGCTTCCTGTCCCGTTTTACAAATAGCAGCGTGCCTCTTCAAAAACTTTCTTCCTTCGAGCCGGACTTGAACCAGCGACCTAAGGATGACCGACGTGAACTATCTACAGTCCTCCGCTCTACCAACTGAGCTATCGAAGGAGATAGTAAAACTCTTTTTTAGAGTCCCTAAAATAAGATACATAGCTGAGTTTTGATTGTATTTAAAGTATATACATTTTATTTTTATATATGTATACATTTTAAAACAATCATCTTAGACACTGAAAGTATTCTACATAATGATCTTGGTAGTTGGTTTCATAGGGTTACAAATATGAAATTTTTATTGGGTTACGCATTTAAGATCTCACGAAATCCGTGTATATCTTAAAACAAAATCCAGTAAAATCCTTTGTCCTTTTCTCTTAATATAGCTAGGGAGAATGTGCCGCGATTTCCCCGAATTTCCTGTCTGATGACCTCCTTTCTCTCCTGAAAGTGTCTGGCTTTGTTCCATAAGAAATATGCTTGCCCTTAATATGGATAGGGTTGTGAACAGAGCTATGTCCAATGCATTTTGGTACCATTACAACTATCCTTTCTGAAAACCAAGTGGAGCACCGGGTAGGTTAACAATTGGTAAAACTTCAGTGTGAATTTTAAGATAGTCATGATCTTTGACCACCTCTGTGGAAACCTAATCCAATGTTAATGGAAACCAGAACTCCCACCTCAAGGCTGAAAGCCCCAAACAAATCATTTCAGGTTTACAGTCAGCCAAAGCTCAATTCAGGCTTCTAAACTATATGCATTTGGTCATCTGAACTTAAGAGTCCTTTAAAATAATCAAAAGTGGGTAAGTAAAAGTTAAACAGGTTAAATCCTATCTAGGGACAAGTAAGGAGGAAAAACCCAGATGGTGGTGAGAAGCAGCGCAAAACTAACCTTGAACTAAGTCTTGAGATGAATAGCAGGCTTCTATGCACACCTTAAACGTCTGAGTTTTGAACTCTCTCATCTAAGAGGACTATGTCATCTCTGAGATAGAGCTCTGCTTCTTGTTTGCCCTGATCATAATGAACAAGTAAGAGAAGCACCAATATTAAGGGCAGTCTAAAAGTCTTGGAATATCCTGCTCAGCTTTAAGAAACAGTTATTACTTAATTTTTTTGTGTTGTCAGCGGGAGAGGGGGTATAGCTCAGTGGTAGAGCATTTGACTGCAGATCAAGAGGTCCCCGGTTCAAATCCGGGTGCCCCCTAGGTTATTTCTTGTAACCTTATTTTAAAGAGAGAACAATGAAACAGGTTTGAAACAAGTTAGGGAGACAATTACAAGAGTTGATACGTTACATACTGTTGTTTGTTTTACTCCATCAAAGTACAAGATACAGGTGTGATGTCTAGTCTAAACGATTTTAGCGCAAAGCAATCTTTTCAAGGAACTAAGAGAAGCTACCTGTAAAACTATCTTAACTATCTTGTGTATGTATATATATATTTCCTATTCTTCCTTCTCTTTTCCCCCATCGCAGTTTGTCTTTTCTTTTGCAGTTTTTTTTCCCAGTTCACAATATCTATCCTGTCGGATCCTATTTTCTTGTTCAATTTTAACACTGGTGAGACAATATGATGTTTACCTATATGGGTCTGATTTATTTCACTTATAAGTATGGTCTCGAGTCACATCTATTTACCTATAAATGTCTCCAGTTTATCCTTCTTTATGGCTGAGTAGTACTCCATTATAAAAAAAAACCACACTTTAAAAAAATGCATTTCTCTGTTGATGGGCATCTAGGTTGCCTCCAAGATTTAGTTATTACAGATAGTGCTGCTATAAACATGGGTGCACATCTATCATTCTGGTATAATGTCTTTAATTCTTCTGGAAGATACCCAGAAAGGGAATAGCTGACTCCAATGGGACCTCTAATCCCATTTTTTAAAGGAATCTCCACACTGATTTCCATAGTAGTTGCACCAGTCTGTATTCCCACCAGCAGTGAAGAAGCGTTCCTTTTTCCTCACAGCCCCTCCAGCATTTGTTATCAGTTGATTTTTTCTTTTTCTTTTTTTTTTTTTTTTCATGATTGCCATTCTTGCTGGGGTTCAGCTTCTCCCCTACCCCCAGCTTCTGAAATAGACATTTTGCTGTCTCAATTTCAGGTGTGATCAGCTTACCCCAATTTCATCGAGACTAGAAATCAAATACCAAACAGAGGAAGCCTCTTCTGATTGGATTTCATGGAAAAAAACCGTTGGAGGTGCAGGTGATGGGTGAGAGCCTTTAGGGGGCTTCCCGGCAAGGCCCAGAGGTCCACTCTTTACAACGGGCGTGCAGACTGGCATCTAGCACTTAGCCACCGGTGCTGTACGAACTTGGTACTCAGTGGGCTCAAAAGAAAAACGGGCAACGACTGCTTTGCGGAAGGACTCGGGCTCTTAGTTTGCAGTCATAAATATATTCGCTTTTCTTTGGGACTATTTAATTTAGAAAAATAACTTGTACATCCCGGCAATAGGGCCTGCAGAAGCCAGAATGATGAGAGAAATTAAATGAGACGAAGGCTTCAGACGAAGCCCCTGGTGGCGTCAAAGAAAGCCAAGCGAGCTGGTTTTAAGGGACAGTCGTAGATCCGTTGTGACTCAGCATAATCTGATTGCGGGGCCAACTGAGTCGATCCACGGAAATTGTAGGGGTGCAAGAATGGCTGAGAATTATTGCGCAGGCCGAAGCCAAACCGCCATAGCTTGAGAACGTTAGTCGAATCCTTCGTGGCTGAATCCTGTTCCCATCCCATACCCCGTTTCCGCAGATCAGCTCCTGGCAATACAGTCTTGTCCAGCCTCGAGGCAGGTGTTCCCTGGACTCCGCGCGCGGATCTCCCGTACTTCGTGGCCTTTGCGAGTGGGAATGCGGAGCGCGGAGCAGGCGCCGGCGCCGCGGAGGGCGGCAGTGTTCTGGGACTGCCAGGTCACACTGCTCGACGATCGCACTGCTTCCTGTTGGTTAGGGAAAGGTCAACCCAAGACGCTGAGAGGCCTGAATTGCTTCCAGATTTGAGAAAGGGATAAGGCCGTAAGCCAGCGCCGCCAGATGGGGAATTAGCTCAAATGGTAGAGCGCTCGCTTAGCATGCGAGAGGTAGCGGGATCGATGCCCGCATTCTCCAGTTTTGCATCCCAAGGTCTGTAACCCTTATGTTTCCGTCTTTCCGTTAATATATTGCTGAAATGTGAGCAGGTAACAAGCGTCCACTTTGTGACCGGGTACTCTGCATTTCCTTCAACGGCCAGGCGCTAACACAGGGTGCGTTCTTCGCCCCTGAAACACGCACAGCCATGTTTTCTTTGGACAGATTTACCACCCACAGGGCTGAGGTCTGCGCAAATCCTTCACGTTTTGGCAATTTGGCTCCTGCCAAATGGATTTACAAATCTACTCTCCCCTTTTTTGTGTTCCAGATACCACATTTTAAATTCACAGGATCTGTTTCCCTTGTGTCTGATATATTGAGGACGCTTTAAATTCTGACAATGGCAGCAAATGCACCCCATTTCTTAACAAGACGCTGGAGCGCCAAAGCTTCTGCCCCTGTGTGTGGGCTTGGTTTTTCCCACTCTCCCCCTCCTCGGGAATCACCTAACTGGCCTCGCGTCGGGGCGAGTGTGGGGCTGCTGCGGGCGCCGGGAAAGGGCAGGAGACGACCCTGAGCACCGGGCGGCACCAGCGCGCTGTAGAACCTGTGTGGGTTGGGATCCACTGCGGTGTGGAGAGGCTCATCCCGGACGACCTCAGGAACCACGCACTCGAGACCTGAACCGTTTTTCCTTTGCACCCAACTCACTCTCCGAAAAATAAGTTCGAATTTGCCATTTGCTTTGTCGTTGCTGCAACATCTCTGCCATCCCGGACTGTCCAATAGGAGTCCCGAGGTCACATTTTAAAGAAAGGGATTAATTGAATGAATCGTCCCAACTTCAGCAAAGATGTTCTGCTGTTGCGATCTCTACCTTTTGGTTCCTCGCTTGCCTGGGAAATGCTGTCCACTTTCCCTGTGTCCCCCTCCCCCAAATTATTGTTTGTTTTCAAGCAGTGTTTTCTAAACCTCACAGCCCATTTCAAATTACCAGGGGAGTTTTTAAACTGCCACTGTTTGGGTCTCAACTCCAAAGAGATCCCAAGCAGAGCTACACTGTAAAAACCTCCCCAGGCGATTCTGACTTGCACCTAGTTTTCTCGGAGGCGGGGCTGAAACAGCAGTGACGTAACACGCGGGGGCGACAGACCTTGTGACTTTCCTCACCGCTCTTGGGCGGTGGGCGGCTGAGTGGCAGAGCGTACCCGAGTTCCAGCTGCTCCGCGCTCTAACCCCCAGGGGGCGCGCATGTCCCATCGATGGCCATTGGCCGAGCGACTCTCCAGACCTCACCCCACGGCTCAGAATACGCGGTGGAGGGTTGCAGACCAACCTCCAGACCCCCCGCCGGGTGGACCTGCCTGTGATTCGCTTTGTCCGGGGCGGAGAGTTCTCTGAGGGTTAAAGTATGTCGACAAGGGAGTCGAAGTGTGATCGCGGGTATTTAAAATAGCTAAGGAAGATTTTTAAACTTTTAGCAAGAGTAGATGCACATCGAAAATGTTTTTAAATTGACGAGGATATGAGTAATCGGGACGTACCTTTGTGAAGTTGGGGATAAAACTTGCTAAAATGGTAAGTTCCTTCGAGCCGGATTCGAACCAGCGACCTAAGGATGCCTGAGACAGCGCCGCTACAGTCCTCCGCTCTACCAACTGAGCTATCGAAGGACTCACGAGGGAGCGCTCGCCCGCTGGAGAAGCCATCCCTGCGCGGCGGGGAGCGCGAGACCCGAGGGCCCTCCGCAGGTCGCCTGCGCGCGATCTGCACCTTCGCACTGCTTCGGAACTCCGAGGACAGGAAAGTATTGCTGCTGCGCGCGAATTTACAGAGGAAAACAAACACTCACAAATGCTTCAGTCTGCGATGTCAGCGAGATAATTAATAGGAAGAAGAGGAGGGGAAAGGAAAAGGCAACCGAAACTCTTCAACAGCGTACTACAATGGGTTTTAAGCAACATCAATCCTTGCGGACAAACCAGATCATCACGTTAATTCTTACCTCAACAAAAGCCTGTCGCTGTGGAACTAAAACAACATACTTTTAAATTATCGATCTTAATACAGGTTAGAAAGCAATGACACTCAAATACGTGTTAATTTCGTAGTGTGCAAGAGCTTCTCCAGTTTCCTGTGACGGTCTGAAGCTCAGAATTATGTCACTTTCCCTTGTTATGAAGAAGTGCCCCCAGGGGCAGCTGATGTTAGAATACTGTTTCATTCTTCAAATTCCGTTAGAGATGCTCATTAAAAAAAAAAATTCTGTTAGCGATCATGATGTTTTTTACACAGTGGAGCAGCACCTGTCAGGCAAACACCACCACCACCACCATGAAGAGGTAGAACCTTGGGACCAGCCTCTACCCTTCTATGACACAGAGAAGATTTTTTTTTCCCTGAAGAAGAATTAAAAGCAGAGTAGTAATTATTATTACCCATTGAACTTGACCATAACTTCAAGTCTTTATGAAACATCTGTCTGGGGCCTGTCTGAATGAACTAAATAGAACATTCCCTATTCTCCCCAACTCCAGCTGATTGAATGAGAGTTACTATTTTATAGATGTATCTAATATTATCCATTGTGTCAAAATACATTTTCCAAAAGGTTAAATGTGTGATTCTGAGACAAATGTAAAATAAGCACTTGTCAAAAGATTTCATTCACTAACGAGAGATTGATACTATTACTTCCACTCCAGTTCCAGAAGTTTTAGAGAAGCAGAAAGCAAAGGGCTTTATCCTTTAGGAGACTCCTATAGGACATGTTTCAATTAATTTAATCGTTAGACGGCAATATTAGTGGGCTGGGTTAATTTTTCTTTGCTGAATCACAATTTGAGCTGCTTTCCCAGAGATTACACCCCCAAATCTAGTCACATGCACAGAAGACCTCTTAAACAACTTCCGAAGATGGCTGAGGTCATTTGTTCCAGTGGTTTTGCCTTTCCGGAATACACAGGCCCACGCCCTCCTAGGCTGCTGGCTCGGGTAACTGCTCTGGAGTGGAACACTTCTCTACTTTACCTGCCGCGCAGCCCCTAGCAGGCTTCCGGGTCAGCCCCAGAAAAAGGATTAAACCCTGAATTCCTGTCTCCTCTTTACACCTAACTGCCAAGGCTCCCTGAAAGACGCTGCCCACACAAAGGGCTGTTACTCGCCTTCCTAAACAGACTAAAGCAGAACAACAATGGGACAGACCGTGATCGTATCTGCCTGTACCCTTCTTCAGAGACTGACGTCCTACATTCGGAGCTATTCTATACTGACCATTCCTGCAGGCAGCCCCTCCAATTATTGACTTCCAGGCTTTTCTTTCTTCTCTTGTTCAGTCCCCTATCAGTCAAGTTGCTCTAATAATTAAAGCATCTACAAAAGGGTTTCAGATTATCTGTCTTAAAGAAAGCCATCATAAGATCTTTTAAAGTCAGTTAAATACCATTTGCAGAACATGCTGTATACATAAAAGAGTGTGCTTTAAAATAAAATACTGCAAAATCATTCAAAAAAATATTTAACCACCATGTGCCAGACCACTTTTCCCTCAGTTCCAAAATGTCACATGATGTTTTGTTTGGCTGGTTGCTTTGTCCTCCTGCTATGGACTGAATTATGTTCCCCTAAAATTCCTAGCCTTACTCCTCAGTGGGGCTGCTTTGGGAGTAAGGAAATAAGAGTAACTGAGGTCAAAAGGCTGGAGCCCTGATCCAGTAGAATTTTTGTTCCTCTTCTTCCTCTTCTCCCCCAAACACCTAGGCAGTAAGAAAGTGATTGGCATCCAGAAAGAAAGCCCTCCCAAAAATCAAGTCAGAAAGCACTTTGATCTTAGACCTCTCAAGCTCTGGAACTATTAGAAATGGATTTCTGTTGTTTAAGCCACCTGTCTTTCATTAGGGTATCCTGAGCAGACTACTAAGGCAACCCCCATACCCTTTTTACCTTCTCTGATCAAGGACTCCTCTGCAATTTAAGGTAAGCGTTACATGAAGAATCAGGTTAGCTGCTAAAACTCTGAACCAAGCTCAGGGCCAGGACTGGCCTGAGAGATGTCATGGGTCTTGGATTCAGGAGAAAATTCAATTGTTAATAAGTATTTCAATCCATTTTTAACAATATAGCCAAGGGACCTTTAGAAACAGAAAAAAAGCAATTCTTTCGACTAGCATGCATGATGTGCTTCGTTTAATCCTCAGCAACCCCACACACACACACACATGCACAAAATAAACTAGAAACCCAATAAACCCATTCACATTAAGACATGTGGCTACTAAAATAGGCAATGTTAAAAAAATTAAATCGGCAATATTATACTCTTTCAGTTATCTCTTTATTGTTCTTGCAGGACTCAGGAAACCAGTACTAAACAGAGGTTGCTAATGAGCAAAGAGCTCATGCTGTGCAGTGAGACACCAGGTTTACTCATAACCATGACACGTGGTCCAGAAGTCCTACGTGATGATCTGTAGATTATTCGTGTAAATGTCTTTGTATCTGTCTGTTTGTTTGTTTGGAATTTTCTTTTTGCCTTTGTGCTTTAGGTTTCACTTGGTAAACACAGATAATTTTTAAATTATCCAATGTCATCGCCATCATCTATTTTTTCAGTTATTCCAAGTATCTTCGCTTCCCAATGCCATACAGTTAATATAAGCCCAAAGCCTTCGTTTTTGTAAGATAGGTCCATTCGCCCAGCAGGTATATGGCAGCTTTCTTGGAGGCCGAGCAGTCCGTACATGTTATATCCGTGTTTTCATTTTAAACATCCAGCACAGGAAAGGCGCTTAATAAAAATGTGTTCACCAATTGATTTGAAAGACACCGTGTCTCCTGTAAAGCCCTTCTAACAAAGAGCCTAACCTTGTCGTATGGTTTCCACTACGGTCGCCTTTAACACTGGAGCCAAAAAGGGACAGAGGTTAACGGTGACAGAAGGAGGGCAGAAAGGCGAGAGAGTCACAGAGGGCCCTGGACAGTGACTGGGCCTGAGGACCTGGCCTGCTTGTGACCTTGCTCAGAGCCGAGCTGGGACCCGGGCCTGGAGCTGTCGGAACGCCCTTTCGAGGTCACCCAAACAGCCACAGCGCTGAGAGTAAGCCCAGAGACCTTACTCTCGCTCGATCATGGATACATTTCGGGGGAAACCGGTGAAAATGTAAATAAACAGGTGGAATGTACACTAATAATTGTGTGTAATGTTTTCACTCTTCCGATTTCATC